TGGAACACGAATTCCAGTTGACCTGGCTCCTATACAGCTTTGCTATTACTTGTTAAACATACGGTCCAGCAACCAGAGGCTGAGAGGCATTAGCAGACCCATTAGATATTGATTCCTGGAGGTTCTATAAGCTCCACCCAGGGCCCCATCACAGGGCTCAGCTTAGTGGGCAAAAGCCTTCACAAAGCCTGACCAGGTGAAATGCTCAATGCCTTCACTCAAGAACTGCCCAGGTGAGTCAAGTTTCTGTAAGGCTAACAGAGCCACATAACTTTCCGGGCTGGAGGGAACCTGGAGGCTTAGGCAAAGGCTGAGCCTTGCCCAGGGCCATAATGACTCCTTCCCTGACAGCATTTAGGTGAGTCAGTGCCTGCCCAGGGCAGAGATGACTACTGCTTGGCCCAAATGCCCCTCTGGACCACAGGTGACCACAACCAGCCATGTGGGAACCTGGCAGGGTGCAGGCACAGGAGGAGGGCCAGTCTCCTGAGGCCAGCTGGGTGTGACTGGGGCAGCAGAGGCCACTGGGGAGACACACTGGACTCTTGACGCTCACCTGCCTACAAAGGACCCCCCACAACTGCCTTCAAGGCCCAAAATGCATGAATAGTGCTGCTACCCCAGGCCGCTGGGCCCTCTGATGACCATCCAGGGAAATCCTGAGGCTCAGTAAATTGACTGGAATGGGGACTCCTGGGCTGAAGAAGCTTCTCACTGGGACACCCAGGAAAACACTGAGCACAGGGCACCAGACTGAAAATCAGGAAACCTGGGACAAGCTGAGCGACCTCAGGAAGATCCACCTCTGTCCATGGAACTAGAGGACTCTGGGAGGCCCTTTCGGCCCTGACACTGCCCATTCTCTGCATCAGCCTCTGTCAGGGGCCTGGTGGGTGTCCCGCCACTCACCAGTAAGCACACTGCACGTAGGGGTTCAAGTACTATGCCTGGCACATTGTAGGAGCTTAATAAGTATTTTACAAATGAATGTTGAAAAGAAATGAAAAATGGCAATCAACACCCATGCAGACTGCAATTCCAGAAAGGCAGAGAGGAAGCCAGTCTCAGGGCCAGCATTCATCTGAGTCTTCCGTGGGGGGGACAAGCATAGTCCTGCAAAGCAGGAGCTCGTCTTGGGCGTGCCGCTGTCGTGCTGGCTCAGCCTGGGAGCAGCAGCAGGCCGGGGCAGCCCAGCCTCTGTTTATCTCACGGACTGGCCCATTGCTGCAGGGGACAGCAGCCCCACCGCCTGGAGGCCACTGCCCTCGTCCTGTTACCTTCTGCTCCAGCGTTCTTTCCAGAGCGTCCACTCGCAGCTGCTCCTTCCGCAAGCTGGCCTGGTAGGCAGCTTGCTCCTGCTGGGCCTTGCCTCGAACCTGGGCGATCTCGGCGTTGGCCCTGCAGAAACAGCGGGCTCAGAAACCTTCATCCTTAGCTCGAGATCCCCGTAGATGCCTACCGCCTCCCTCCTCCCAGCTCTGAGCAGGGGCAATGGTCTGGCTTCAGCTGCCACCAACTGGAGCCCAAGCATAGAAGCACATGAGACCCCATCCCCGATTCCCATTCCTACAATCCCAGGTGCTTTGTATACCCTGGACATTATGGAACATGCCCTTCACTTATCAAAATGATGCTAACTGAAAGTGTGCCATTATCTCAAGTCATACTGCAAAATGCCCATGGATTATCTGCCCTTTCCAAGCCAATGCCAGGGTGCCTGCCGTGGCAGGGGCTCATAAGGGGACCTTGGCAGCACCCCAAGGCTACATTACCTGTCCAGTTTCTCCTCTGCGTGCACCTTCAGAGCCTGGTACCTCTGCTCCTCCTTCTTCACTCGGGACAGGTACTCCTGTGCACACTTCTTCAGCACCTCTTCATTCTGATGTGACAGAAGACAGGGGTGAAACCCGTAAGAAGAAATGCCCAGGAGTGCTGGGAAACCAAGAACTCACTGATGCAGGTATAAACCCAGACAGCCAAGTCTGACTCTCCAGCCTTCAAGGACCCACTCCTTGGTGACTCAGGACGGACTTGCAGAATGCCTACCCCCCACCTGGGCTCCCCACATCCCTCCCGACCTGTGCCCACTTCTGCACCTGGCCTGGACGGCCTCCTACTCCACCCC